TGTTCACTCTCTACCCACAGTGTTCACTCTCTACCCACAGTGTTCACTCTCTACCCACAGTGTTCACTCTCTACCCACAGTGTTCACTCTCTACCCACAGTGTTTCCTCTCTACCCACAGTGTTCACTTTCTACCCACAGTGTTTTCTCTCTACCCGCAGTGTTCCCTCTCTACCCACAGTGTTCACTCTCTACCCACAGTGTTCACTCTCTACCCACAGTGTTCCCTCTCTACCCACAGTGTTCACTCTCTACCCACAGTGTTCACTCTCTACCAGCCGCAGCTTTCGTCGCCACAGGTTGCTTGCTCTTGCCAGGCGTGTATGCCTGTGTGTACGCCTTACGTATTTACTCGTTATAATGTTGGGGCCCAATGACCGAACGAAGCAACAACGTGAGCGTGCGCGCGCATCGAGCCAAACCCCGGCTGCTATTCGCACACCAGCGAAGAGCTGTTGTTGTAGATTTTCCCGCGTTTACGCTGCAGTGTAAAGCTATATGTTTGCGTTCGTGTAGCCTATAGCGTTGCTATATTGTTATTCATATCAATAGAACCAGCAAATATTTACTTCGTTAAAAAGCCACCGCTTTAAGATATCGTGTCGAATTTCTACAATAGGTGTTGTGAGGCTACGAATATCAAGACGCGTATTAAATTTACTGTATGAGATGCGGTACAAGCAGTGCATGAATTAGAAAAATTCTTCAATTGTCTAATTCACATACTACTGCTCACCTACTCGACATAAGCATGCATCATATTTGCATATTATTGATATATACCGAAATGTATTATTAACTTTTGATATGTGCATATTATCGTCACACGTTACTTTACAGTTGCCGATTATACTCTCTATCTGCTCTCTGGTAGCTGCTCTCTGCATGAACAGTAACGCATGTGGTACCGGTATAGAACCGTAGTTCACAGGTGGGTTAAATTGATTAAATTACAGCTCATACAAATTTATTTAAAACAACCCTACCGGCTTGCCTTGGAAATATATATATTAAATGTTTATTATAATCATCAATCCTAATAGGATAATTAATGATATATTCTGTGAAAAACTCCACGGTGACGTGGAAGCTATGGTCAGTGGATAACAGATTAGATTTACTATGCTCATCATATTCACTGCCGACGAACGAATGTCATGTCATCGTATCTTTACGTATCAATGACGCGTAATTTTCCCGTGACGAATATGTTTTGACTTTATTAAATACAAATAAATTGAAGTAAATGTTTGAATCTTTTAAACGGGTTCAGAATGCATAGATACACGTTACTTCGTTTACCGACTCCCATCTTGCGCTTGTCAGTTGTAAAAATTGTCAACATGTCAACATTGTGTTTGTGTGTGTGTGTGTGTGTGTGTGTGTGTGTGTGTGTGCGTGTGTGTGTGTGTATGCGCGCGTGTGTGTGTGTATTCGCGAGTGTGTGTGTGCGTGCGCGTTTATGCGCGTGTGCGTGCGTGTGTTCTATGCTTGTCGGTATTATATTGTGTGCTTTGCTCGGCGGTCCGTGTTAATTTCATGCTAGCACACTATACATGCCAAGACTTGCCAATACTTAACTACTAAAAAGACTATAAGCAATTCGAAGTGATAAAAATCAATCAAAAGAATTTATATAGTAACCGCATTATAAATACTTTATTAATTACACCAAACGTAAGCAATAATCGTATTAAACACTGCGTTGTTTTAATAAACAGACAGTGTACTCGAACAAAACGATGCATGCTAAATATGTAGGAGTAACAAGTCCACAGAATTCACAAAACACGAATTCGAATGTTTTCTCACATATAGATTCAGCCCTGAATGTGTTTGTCTTTAGCTAAACTGTTCAATAAAGTGTCGACACAAATATTCATGCAGTTATTTCAGCAGCTTTGTAATATTCTTCTTTACTTAAGAAACAAACAGAAATGGTATTGAAACGGTGCGAGAGATTTTTGTGAAAAATATTACAATAACAATGTGAACGCTGAAACTAGGGCTGAAATTCTACCATTACCAGCTGAGATATAATGTACCATATATATACTGAAAATTTAGTTTAGCCAATTTTATCTACAAAGTTAGAACTTAATGTAAGTAATTGATGTACTTGGTTATATGAATGAGGTTTCGGTGATAAATCCCTCTATCATATTAGCGTTAGTATCTCACCGACACTATTTTGTTAGTAAAATATTATTATTTACTTGGTCTTATAAGATACAAAACGTATATACAATTATTACGTATGATAGTACCCATGAAATTAAAATAGAGAACCACCCTTTTTCTACGATCACGGGTACTTAATAATTCGAGACATATCAACTGCCAGTAGTACACTTCTTAAAACTACGCAATATTTATATATCACATTCCCCTATCTTATGAAGTTAACAAAATTCACTTCATCGCAGTCATCAAATACTGCTTTTCATCGATGACGTCACTTTCATTACATGCATGCTCATCAGCACCCCAATTCGCCAACGTTAATTGTTTGATCATGCAAATTCGGGCAAAAATGTACTTATCTGTGTGCCCAGGGATCGGACTGAAATAAATAATTCAAACTTGTTGTTATCAGCGCGTGACAGTACGATGAGAGATTTGCTGCAATGCGGCACACCATACTATCAACGTTACGGTAATTCTGCATGCAATAAATATGCAATTTGCGACTCGTTCGATGCACGCAGGCATTCCCCGCATTGCTTATTTAAAAACCGGGTTTCGGAATCTGTGTCTCTCCGTTACTAGCTCCTCCTCCTCTTCTTCAAGGCACATGTAAATGTGCATCGCGTGAGTATACCAGTGCGGTAGATTCAGGGAGCTTTGTCGAGGGCATCACCATGGCAACCAGCAGCGCTGGGTTGTTTCGCAAGCCCCAGATTCATCGACTCAAGGCGTCATGTAGCTACCTACCTCTCATCGGGCAATAGATTTTGTGCAATCTATACGACTCGATCATCATATATAATTATGAATAATTTCGCTAAACACGTGCGCGCTCACGTGGCGTGCACGTGACCGGGTACATCAGCGTATTGACGTCGCTTGGTCCTGAAGAGCACAGAACGGCGGTGTGGGAAGTTCGAAACCAAGCGGTTCGCCGATACCAAAGTCTGCAATATAAAAGTTTTTTCAAATTAACAGAAATATTCAGCCATATTCAGCAATATTCGGCAATATTAATCAATATTCAGCAATAAGCAGCAATATTCAGTAATATTCAGCATAATTCAGGATTCTTAACCGGGCGTCACGTGAGCTTGAAGTGATTACGTCACCGTAAATAGTAAAAGTAAAAAATTATGTCCACTTTTTCACAAAATGTATATGATTCTGTTCACTTTTTGTGGTTAAATTGCTGCATTATACCTACTTCTTATTTTGCCATTCCGTTCGATGTGAACAAACACTCGTGACTCATACATAGTCATTAGCAAGCATTTAATGTCGTGATCAATATATAAAATCGCTCAGATTTTTTACTAGTTGAAAAATAAATCTTATCAGGTAAGAATTTGAGGATACATTTAGTGCCGAATTAGTACTTACTTTTCATGTGAAAAATTGCAACAACAATTTTACAAATATGCACCATAGAAAATTCGTGACGTAGTCAATTTAAACTCAATAATCAGTTTATATGTCTATAAAACATTTAGCTGTAATTAAAACTATACAGCTTTCCACGTACCGATACATGACTATGAAACAAGCGACCGCACAGTGAACAATCACGATCGCAATATCAATGTAAATATTAATACATTATAATCGGCCATAGTATAGAGACTAGATCGCGGAGAATGATACATTATCAGGAGTGTATAATATAGAATAGAATATATGTATAATATAGAATAGTGTCTATATTATACACTCCTGATATTATCATCTTATGAATTCATGCACTGACGATGTTTCCAGTCCATGACTAGCCGAGGACGTTAGTGAACGCATGATCGGTATTATATAATACGTTCTCACTTTCATCTAATCTCTAACCACCGCATTTCAATAAAAGGTATAGTATAGCACAGTGTAATGTGTGATTATATGGTCGTGTAATTCGATCCGTTTAACATTTATTAAATAAATATCAAATATACATAATAGGATACGTAAATTTGACAGTAGTGTTAGCAGATGTGTTTAAGATGCTGGATGTCCGGTACGGTAAAAGCTAGAATGCTGGTACTGTTATGATGATAGATGCGTACGCGTATATTACCCTGTCCGTACACCAATCACGCTAAAACAGCTTTGTACATTATTAAATATGTTACTTATTATATTAACATAGTGCCCCCAACAACAGGCATTAATATATAAATAGGGTTCTACAGTAAATATATTCTCCTATTCTACGCGGTAAACTACGAAAACGTTTTAAAGAAATCTGAAACATAATTCATAATCCTGTCAAAATTTTAGTAACACTATAGATTGTGAAATAAGAGTTGAATATTCATCCGACGTACGCACATGCACGCACACTTAGAACAATAGCTATTGAACACCTAGCTAGCAACCACACATGCACACATCTGTAAAAATCCAATAAACCCACAAGAAATCGATCAGGCTGACGAAGATGAAATGAAGCGCATAGTAGAATGCGATAATAGTACTTCTGTGCATAGCTACTAAAATAATATGCCGCTAGATCTTAAATATAGCAATACCACAATATTTCACCTTCGAAGCTGGCAATAGTTTAGGAAGAATCACGCGTTTGTTTTTTGTTTTTAGAAAAAAAAACTAACCGGTTTGGTTTATTGGACTTTAATGAAAATAAATGAAAATAATTTCGCTTTCTAGCGGTGTATAAATATAGATTTTTCTAAACTCCCTAATTTTTCTCCCTGATTTATAGAGAAGGTTCCTAACCTACAGAACCAGCCGAGGTAAACGAATATGCAATCACAAATTAGGTACCCTGAAATTTCAAGAAGACACCCCACAACCATGAGAACGCTCGCTTGCTATCAATCTAATTGTTCCAAAGCACAGCTATTAGCACTTGGCCTTGCGCTCTATTAGCATATTGATGAATATACGATTATACCGATCAAGGTCATCACGAATACCATGTCTGCCACAGTTTCGATGCGAATACACCAGTTACACCGCATTTCTACACACAATACTAACACTGTCATACTTGTTAGGAATAACACAACTGTTGCCACGCTCGTTAAAGGCAAGATAAATGTTTATATTCTTGTTGGGTACATTAAGATTTACGTTCTCCTTTTCCGGTTTAATTCACTTTCCCTATTGCAAAGGGAATTTTCTCAAACTTGAACAATACCAATTTTGCCACATCTGAGCGCTTGTCACAATATAATTGTTCTATGCTTACTAAACATGATATAAATGGTGTCATACTGGCTAAGTACTAGGCGCACTACAAATTTTGTCAAAGTTGATTGATACAACATTTTCATAGTTGCTCGACACAATATACACTGTCACGCTCGCAGCACAATATAACAATTTTATGTTTTTTATGTACCAATTTTGGTAACGTTTGCTAGACACAGACAATGTAAATTTTGACATGCGTGCTATGCACAACGTCTATTTTTCAATACTCGGTGGGCAGAACACAAATATTGCCATATGTTCTAAGTTCAACACTAAATGTGCAAAGATTGCTTGCTACACTATTTCCTTATACTTGCATTATTACAATTCAAACCAGTTCGAATACATATGTTAAACAATAAATGTAAATAGTAGTATTTGCCAACAAACAGTCCTACTATAGTTGTTAAATAGTAGACTAGTTTTGCTGTATTTCTGCTTGTTAGACAGAATATGATTTCCCCAATACTTATTCGGCATAATACTAAATTTGCAATACATTTTAGGCAACTTTCCAATGTTGTCCTATTTTGCAAGCATAATACTATTTAGTTGGTGCTATAGCTATATAGACTACGAAATACTGGCATAATAAAACATTGCAAAACTTTAAATTATGGTAGAATTTCATGACAAACCAAAAATATAATATCAATTATTTCACACCTTAGTTAGCAGTGTGTAATAACAATTGTATATTACAATTGCAATAAACACTATTAATGAGTATTACAACTGTAATTACAAGTGTAATACACATTACACTTCATGTAATTTTAAAGCGAATACCAGATGTACAAGAGACACAAGGTAAGACAGCAATTGACCTGCCATTCTAAGCAAGATAACCATGAGACTCTTAAATAATGTTTATACGTGTTTTTTTCATGTTCATACCCACATTGTTAACATTGTGGAACGTTTCTTGCGAAGCAACGTTTTTGGAATGCCCTAATCACTATTCTGATTGACAAACTCTACATGTCAATCATTCCATGCAGATCAATGAGCTAAGAGCAGATCAATGAGCTATGAGCAGATCAATAAGCTATGAGCAGAACAATAAGCTATAGCTTGCAGATCTAATTGATTTTTTTTATTTTATTCATATTTTGTTTATTAGCAGGTCTGATTTAAAGTCTGCTTTATTTTCGTACTTAGTCATCTCCGAATTCTGCGGTGTGGAATACAGAGTCCAGCTTACTAGCTGCTGGATACTCCACAGCATACTGCAAAAGTGAAACACCACAGTATATTAGTATATAGTTGATTAGATTTAATTTATATAATTTTATAAATTTATTACCGTGAATTAACGTGTGAAAATATTAAAGCATGCCAAGCATCTTGATTTCTTTAATCATCCAGCTTTTACTGGTAATTGGGACATGACCAAGGTGATGTTATGAAAATGCATTCACGCGCCTACCCAATAAACCACCTACCAGCCTGCTGCCCCCATCAACCACTCCCCAGCCTGCCTCCCCCATCACGTGACATCCCCATCAACGTCACTCCCGTACAGCAGCCTCCCCATCAAACCACCCACGCCTGCCTCTCCCCATCAACGATACACTCCACAGCCTACTCCCCCATCAACTACACTTCCCTAGCACCAGCTCCCCACAACACTCCGCAGCAGCCTCACCATTCCAACCACTTCCCAGCTGCCTCCCCCATCACCACTCCCAGCCAGCCTCCCCATCCAACCATCCCCACAGCCTCCCCATCACCACCTACGCATCCTGCCTCGCCATCACACTTCCCCAGCCTGCGCTCCCCCATCAACCACTGCCCCAGCTGCTTCCCCCATCAACACACCTACTAGCCTGCTTCCCCCATCGAACCACTCCCGCAGCCTGCTCACCATCAATCGCTCCCAGTCCTATACCTCCCCATAAACGACACCTCTATCAGCGCGTGCTGTCCATCACACACCTCAGTAGTAACACTGCTCCCCCATCAACGGCACTCTCCCAGACTGCCTTTCCCCATTCAACCAGTCCCATCTTGCCCCTTCCCATCACCACTACCGCAGCCAGCCTCCCCATCAACCACCCCAGCCAGCCTCTCCCCATCGAACACACCCCCAGCCTGGCTCCCCCATCAACTAGCCCAGGCCTGCTCCCCATCAACCACTTCCCCCGATACAGCCTGCTCCCTCCCATCCAAACACCCCCAGCCGCTCCTGACATGAACCATCTCCTCACAAGCCTGCCTCCCTGACCATCAAACCTCACTTCCCAGCCTGCTTCCCATCAAACAGTCCCAGCCTGCCTCCCCATCACACGTCCCAGCCGCCTCGCCATCACCTACTCCACAGCCAGCTCCCCACAACCCACCTACCAGCCTGCTCCCCATCCTACCATCCTCACCTGCCTCCCCCATCAACGCACTCCTCCAGCCTGCCATCCCCCTCAACGTGACCCTCAGCCTGCCTCCCCCCTCCATCAACTACTCCCAGCTTGCTCCGCCCCATCAACCACCCCTAGCAGTCCCCCATCAACCACTCTACCAGATCTCTCCCCATATCATCCCAGCCTGCCTCCCCATCAATCACTCCCAGCAGCGCTGCTCCCGGCATCAATCCACTTCACGGCATGCTGCCCCCCCATCACCACTCCCCAGCCTGCCTCCCGCATTCAACCACTCCCCAGCCAGCCTCCCGCCATCAAAGCCAGCTTACCAAGCCGCCTCCACCATCAACACTCACCAGCCTGTCCCCCCAGTGCAAACACGTCCTCAGTCGCCCCATCAACCATTCCCACCAGCCTCCCGCCATCAACGTCACCTACCAGCTGCTGCCCGCATCAACCACTCCCCTCAAAAAGAGCCCTGCTCCCCACATACGTCATCCCCGCCAGCCCCCCTCAACGACACTCCCTCAGCCTGCCTCCCCCATCAAACCCACACAGCTCACCTCCCCCATCAACGCTACTCCACAGCCAGCCTCCCCATCAACCACCTACCAGCCTGCTGTCCCCCATCTACCACTCCCCAGCCTGCCTCCCCATCACACACCTCCCGTCAGCCTGCCGTCCGCCCACCACTTCCCCAGCCTGCCTGCCTCCATCACGAACTCCGCCAGACTGCCTCCCCATCAAACAACTCCCACAGCTAGCTCACCCCCATGCACTGCCTCTCCGCCTGCTCACGCCATCAACCACTCCACCACCATCGCTCCCCCATGCAACGGCAACTCCCGCAGCGCCTCCGCCCATGCAAAGCCACCGTACCAGCTCTGCCTCCCCAATTCTACCAGCCCCCCCTCCCCCATCAACGCATTCCCCAGCCTGCTTCTGTGCCTCATGTCACTACAGTCACCAGACCTGCATCCCCCATTACCACTCCCCAGCCTGCCTCCCCCATCAACCACTCCCCAGCCTGCCTCCCCCATCAACCACTCCCCAGCCTGCCTCCCCCATCAACCACCTACCAGCATACTACACCGTACCCGTAATTCACACCCCAGCCTGCCCCCCCCCATCAAACACCCACCAACTTGCTTCCCAGAACCAGCCACCAGCCTGCTGCCCCCACCCACCATCCACCACCCTACCTGCTTTAAGCTGGGTTTACACTGCCAACTTTGTGTTGCCGAATTGCCAAATTGTAAAACTTCGCAATTTCGCAACCAACAATCGACAAAAGGTGCACGTCCAACCGATCGATAGCAGCTAGTTGGAAGATTAGAATATGTTCTAATTCGGCAATTCGCCAAGTTGGCAGTGTAAAACCAGCTTTACCCATAACTCATCCCCCAGCCTGTCTACACCATCATTCACCTTCTTATTCCTGCACAAGAAATCTCACCTTCAGTGTAAAGGTTTCAGCTTCTCCGGGCTTAACTGTTCTCTCCCACTCAATATTGTTGTTTTTGTTTTGCCTCACTGGTGGTTTGGTATCCTCTGCCTTCCTGTTTTCCCTGGGAAGCACTGGCTCTAGTAGTGTCACCTGGTGGATGACCAGAGAAATTTATACCACCAATTTCTAATACATGGAGCAAAATTAATGTCAGGGGTAAATAATGACAAATTTTTGTCATTATTCACCGCCGTTAATATCTATGACTAAAAAATTTAAGAATAGGACATATGAGAATCTCTGCATTTGAATATGTTTGCAATTACTCTTAACACTCTGTTTAAATTTGGATTTGAAGTTTTTGTGCTACAATGAATGCTTACACAAATTAAATGGTTACACTAACACCATCTGGTCAATTATGTAGTAGTAAAAGATGCACAAATATGTCAGGGCATATAGCAATCAACTCACGTAATGAATAAAAGGAGCACAGCTGCTGACATAACTTTGACATAACTTTGGTATATATATATATTTATATCACAAGTGAATGACACTGCCTTTCACTGACGATGGGAAGGCTATTTCACTGACGATAATGTGCTTTTAGGTGTAATTTATAAGAGATCAATGCAATGACTGTCACCTTTATTTTTTCCTCGACACTGCGCGGCAGCTGCTCTTCCACTGTGATGTTGATCGCTTGCTCACGCGTATTCTTCACAGTAACGTCCTGCTGATGGGTCACGTGCGACACCTAGTGGGGGAAATACAAACTATAAATACTGGTTCATGACAAACGGTGACAGACCAAGAAGGAAACTGAAGCGAAACACGTGGTAGTTATTTATTTAGCTGATCAAATAATTTTACAGATTACGTGGTCATCTAATGGCTCGTCTCGTGACTTGTTCTTATTGATATTACGACATGTGACTGTTATATATCTAATACGAGGATTGGCAGTGGCAGTCAAATGCCTGGGAGCGGGTACACGAAATGCCTGCGCATAGCAAACGCCATCTAGTGCCGAAGCTTGCAATATTTGGCCAGATAGGATACGGGTAGCGGACACATGCTGAACATATACGATTAACTTGCTGTTCAGCTTTATCATTTAAGCAACGTCCCTCTTTCCTGAGTGGAGATCTTACACCTGAATGCAATCACTATGGGGCCACTATTACCTTGGTGAAGACACCATGTTTAGCATGGAACTTGTGTTCAGGAGGATAAGTGATTCTAATCGCTGGATCCACTCCCAGGAAGCAGGTGAATTCCTCAGAAGGACTCACTGACTTCAGTTGTGACTAGAAGGAGTTAAACAATCGAAGGGCTTCTAGAATATCAAACATTCTCAAATTCTCGGAAAAATTCTCAAATAAATGCATGCAAATGACAATCTATTACTTATTATTATTATTATTATTATTATTATTATTATTCATTGTTATTAATGACTATTATTGAGACACGTTGAGACACTTAAATGAATTTCAGACCAATGGCTAAACATGGTTTTTCAGCAAATATACACTTTGCACATTATATACTAAAATTTTTGTCCAACAAATCACACACTAAGAAGTTCTTCAAATCAGTTTCTAATGCAAAATGCCACAATGAGAATCTAGGCTTACACACGATAAACGTTTACTCCACCGAAAGATAAAAGAGAGCAAACCTTTGCGATGAAATTGTTATCCAGGAAGATGTTGCTTGGCCCTGCCAGCAATGCATAGACCGAGGTGTTCTTCACTCTAGCCTTGTAGAATGCGTGTGGCGAATGCTTAGGTATGCACACGTACTCAAATGTCGGCTCAAGGTCAATCAGTCCAATTGTAACCTGCAACGATGAGTTTGATTTCCCAAGTGCAATAGACTGCTGGCACATAGCCAAATACTCGGCTTGGCCTAAGAATTTTCACATTATTCTGTAACATCAACCATGCATAGGCTAGTTTTGTTTATGAATCAACTGTTTGTCTTTTGTCCCCCAATGCAAACTTATCTTTAGATAAATATAGTTTACTCAGCCGTTCACTAACTGTTCCAGCATTTTCATCTGGCAGTTCTATTGATTTATTATATATTATTGGTGAATTTAACGTAAATGAAAGGCAGACTTGTTCTATACATGCTTACATAAAAAACATTCCTATTTGGGGGTATATATTACAGCCAGTGAGTACCATGGCTCAAAATAAAAAAAGGTCAACTAGTAAATTAAAGTCACATTAACCACATGTGGAAGAAGGATTCTGCAAGCCTATTCATGATAATTCACTCTCAAAAACCTTTATAACATCAAGAAAAACACCTATAAATAACATTGCATACCTTGTGCCCGGTGTTGTCACATGGGATAGTTGACGGTCTAGCAATTTCAAATGTAGTGCTGGTCACACCCTCTGTTACCTTTAAACACCATATTTGCTATTAATTAGTATGAAGCATACCATAAGAAAATCTTCAAAAACTTCTTAAATGTTAATATTATTCATTTCTTCTATTATTATATTTAATATATAAAGAAGAAATAAGCCATTATAAATTTCATTATGTTAAGTCAATATATATTCGTCCAACTTCATAAATAGCTAAATGCTTTTTTTCGTAAAACAATAATACAAAGACTAAACCACCATGCACGTGTAAGACACCCAACACCAACGCATGCACAGTGCAACTACACATGCGACATAAACACAAGTACCTCATTTTAGTTAGCAATCACAGTGTTGACGCCACACAGAATGGCACCGACACGACAATCAGCGCATGGTAGCAATAAGGACAAGAATAGTGAGGAAAACAGAAGAACAGCAAGCATGCCAAGACAAGCACACCCTGTACTTCTGCTGTAGCAACCACCACAGTTTATCAAGGAAAACATAGATCTCCCTTAAGCTGTGGACACATTACGCGATTTTTCATGCGATTGAGCCGGCCGGCTGAGTCGGGCGACTCTGTGGACACACTACGCGACCGAGTCGGGCGACTCTGTGGATTTTCAGCACGCTGATTGGCTGATGAATTGTACAATCGGCCGGCTCAATCGCAGACCCGGGCACACTAGGCGATTGCAGCCGGCCGGCTCAAATAATTATCAAACATGTTTGAATCGGGCGACTCGGCCGGCCGACTCGAAAATCGATGCGACTCACTGGACACACTACGCGATTTTTCATGCGATCGAGCCGGCCGGCTCGGTCGGCCGGCTCGATCGCATGAAAAATCGCCTAGTGTGTCCACCCCTTTCCCTACTGCCATCCCGCCCCTAACGACACCTGACAACGAGCCTTTTTCATTTTTACATGACATAACCAGACGACGCTATAGGTTCTCACAATATCCTGACATTATTGTCTGAACCTAATTTCACATTAGGTCATGATGACCGGGAAATGTTTACGTTTAGGTTGTAAGCGCGTGGTATTCACCTGGACAAGTAATAATAAAATATATTTGATCTTGCTTCTGCTATCCGGACAAGACACTCGAGTTATTCAAACTCGGTCACTAAGAAATTTGATATGACAGATAAATTTGGGATCTTATGCGCCATGTCAATGTCATATAGAAAAACTAAATGAAATTTTGTCAGACATTAGATGGTTCTAGCGAAATGAGATCAAGGACTGATATCGCTCGTGCCTGTGCAATCTATGTCGCATTCCCGGGGCATTGAGCAGGCAGGGACACCAAACGTGGGGAATGCGGTAGAGTTTTGCCCAAGAGTGCAAGAACGAATGGCTTTACAGCCTATAATCAATAACCACATTCACAAAGCACCATCAGGCTACCTTTAACTAATAGATTCATTGCTTGCAGTATAGTATTGTTTTCACTATACAGCTATAGGTCGTATTCACTAGGCAGAAATGTGCACTTACTAATTGGTACTAACATAATATCTTCATGTGTGTGTATGCGTTTGTGCATGCGTTTGTGCGTGCGCTGGTGCGTGCGCTGGTGCATGCGCTGGTGCGTGCGCTGGTGCATGCGTGCGTGCATGCACATGTGTGTTTTGCTATTTCGCCAGAACAAATTAAATTCGGGCGAATCGGCCAAAACAAACAAACTCATGAGTGGCCTCTAATACCATTACATTTAAAAAACAACAAATGCAACGAGCCAACCACGTGCCAACGTAACACAATGCTAATGGCATCACCCAAACCACAAAGCTCAATCATTATAAAGCAGGAAGCGAGGAAGGAAGCAGAAATTAAGCCAAGCGAGCAAGTAACATGACCACGAAGAGTTTACGATCACCCGTAAACCTCTCGCAAAAGCAGCCTAACAATAAGCCAACAGGTATACCTGTGCACTTGGAGCTTCCATGGCAAGAAGTTGGGGTGGTGGTGGTCGTGGGGGAGCGGCGTGTCTACCGACCGCGTCAGCTGACATCATAACAGGAGAGGCCATGTAGGCAACACCAGGTGGGGCCGCTCTCCTGGACGAAATGGAACGGGGTTATTACGTCATACAGCATATTCTGACAGGGCTGATACTTGCGCTTATAGTAATTACGCTTGAAATCGCTATACGCTATAGTAAATGTCGTCATTCCTTGTGCTAAAAGACACAGGACAGCAATGACAACAAGAGACAAGACACGATCGAACAACACGTAATTCACAAAGCCATAACGTAGAGAGTTTCACTGGCTTTTTTTCACTGTGCGATGCCACGGTGGAATTATTCCACGAAACATGGAAAGATGGACACATTACGAAGCTACATTACAGGATCACGTTCCCAACTGTTGAATCGGCCAGAATTAGACACACAGCCATATTACCTCTACGTCCGTCCATCGTAATGCCGAAAAACGGCTACACGGACCACTGAAAAGACACTGTAAAGGTATTGCCTTCAGAACTATCAGCGTGATTCCACAAAGACAACAGCTATTCTTACGAATGTCACAATACTAGAGAAGTTTACTCGCAGTGCCATTACTATGACAATGCACACTGAGGAAGCATATATGTCAAGTCTGAAACAGTACATCACAGTCGATGATTTCCACATCAGCAACAGGAGCAGGTAACCAAAGCACAATGACCACTTATATGCACAGAGTGAAGGGGTTAAAGTCACGTCGTCATAGCGTTTCGTGTTTTAGCAAATCAATCGCATGAGATGTTCTTATGTGTCACGTAGCATTTCACTCGATCAACTACACAAAAAAACCGAACCCTGTAGACCTGGAGACCTTGAGGTGTTCAACCACCGTGCCAGGGTCTGTGTGCTGCAGTGGCTAGGTCGAATGTAGTGTAGTGACCCGAGAAAAAGAAGAAGCTACTAAAATCAACCCCTTATATCCATATCTCTACCGGAAATGCTCTGGCATAACCAGATGTACTGACAATATACACGCCATGCACAATGAATTCCTGTGTGCAGTGATCATGCGCCACCATACACTTGAGGATCATATTTATTGCATTTCACCAGAGAGGCAGAGCCAATCCTCACCAATATTCACAATTGGCTTCGCGGTAAGACCAGTCCGAATGCCATCAGATGTCGCGCAAAACACCAATAGTGATTACTCATGCACTACTAACAGGAGTATCATAATATAGAATATTATGACACTGTGTATGTGTAGAATATGTCTCTATGTGTAGAATATTATATCATTATGCACTCCTGCTACTATCACACTGACTCGTCTGCCATACACAAATGAAAGTACCTGACTAGTAGTCACACATGCTTCAACAGAACAAGAACGAGATGAGTAAAAAACAGCAAAAGGTGAAAACCATATCACAAACATCGCCCGTAGCATGCACTATCACGAACTTCTGACTATTCTGGGTATAGGGTGACTTGGTGTATGTTTTGTCAGACGGTTCTCCTACCCACCTCTGCACTAGCCACTTCCAACTCTTGCTGTAACTGCCTCCTGTCCCTTTCTCTCTCGATTTTCTTCTCAATGACTTTAACAACACTCAGACTTGAGCGTTCAACAGAAGATCCGAAAGTAGGAATCACGCTGAATCGCTTTCGTGGCCTACAAAGATGTGTTTATCACCATAACGGGGCAGAAAATTCCGATTCGCTTAGGTGAATGTGTCAAAGACAAGTTTCAAAGATGTGCAACCTAGATTGGCTATACTGCTCACATTCCTGGCTGCTATAAATCTACATTAACATGCCAGTGATGCCACCCTACCCAACCTCTGCCCTGCCCCCCTGCATCCCTCAGCTCCTGCTGTCCTAGAATACTAGCTCATGCAACCAACAACTAAATATGCCAAGACATGTCGATCTTTCTTCCCCACTGAAATCTCGCGGTCTTACTGACGATTCATCCCTCACACCAGCCATCATAACTGCACAACGGATACAGTCGACAAGTAAAATCCAGAGTTAAACACCAAACTCTCGTGGAGAGCAATGGGGCAGAAACTTAAGTAAATCTAAGCCAGATTCAGTGGGATTGTCACAAAGTCAAACTCGATCGCACGCTTTGCAAGCCAAACTCAATCGCATGCAATTGTTCCCATACACAAATTTTCACGAAATACCTCATTATTAGGGCTGTAACGATATACAAGCCTCTCGATTCGATCCGGATCTCGATATTAGCCTCTCGATTCGATTCCTTCGATTCGATTCCCAAAATATTGAAATGTTATCTTGTTTTTTATATTTTCATTATTTTGCAATAATAAATTATTAGACATTGCCAATGAATACTAAATGGTGAATAGACTAGACTCTAGAGAGTCTAGAGAGTATATATACACTGCACAGCCGCCGAGTAACATTGGTGAGTAACACTCCACAGCATATAGTGTAGTGCCGCCATCTATTGGAGAAAAAAAGTGGTATCAAAGTGGAATCGAAAATTCGGGGAAAAATATCGAGGATCGGATCGGGGGAAGAGAATCGCGATCCGATTCGATTTCGGTGGATCGTTACAGCCCTACTCATTACATCATAGGGGTTATTATTATATATTGATTATGATATTACGATTTTATGATTATTATGATATGATGATTATGATATTACCAGATATTACATCATATCAGGGGTTATTACAATAATGACAAATTTGTCATTGTTAACCCCTGATTACATGCAGCGTTGTTGCACTTTTACTGCCTTGTCAACACCCAAGAGAGCTCATCGATTCGCAAAAAACGCTTGTCACTGCACACATCTGTTGCTCCCTACACGCAGTTGTTACCCCACATTCCAGGTAAGACCAGGGGTGAATAACGACAGATTTTTTGTCAACAACAATTTGTCATCATTTACCCCTGGTAAGACGTACCAAGTAGTTAATTGAGAAAACAAGTAGTTAAAAAACGAACTTCTAATGCGTATTCGAATATAGCATGCAGACGATAATGGGGTAACTACAGAAGTTAGTTGGGAAACGGATAGTTGACAACACGTTTTATACTACTGTTACTGCTATGATGGCGCTAACACACCTCTGCAAACGCTTCCTCAATCGCTATAAGCGAATCTGGCGCTATCTGACGTTTTTCCTTTTTAAAAGATCTGAACAACGTACTTGAGTGCTGCCCCACTGTTGGCTCACACAGGTCATAGGTCATCCTAAGCAACAATTTGTAAGGGGATGCCAATTATTTTCACGATCAAACATAGTGTTAAATGTACTTTCACGGTACATGATATAATACATATGTGGGCCGACAATTCACGACATCGGATACACATGTAGAGCATAATTAATATGAGTGAATGTTAGATTTTTTAATTTTAAGTGTAAACGTAATTAAATAAAAATATGCGTGTACTCATTAAGCAGTAGCATCTTCAAATAAGAAACACCGGATCGGTTTCTTGATACCTGCTTGCCATGCAGCCACAAGAATGCATATAAATAACTGCTAATATTGAGACTAACAAAGCTCCTTTCCATCTCCCATTTCACGTCAATATCTAACCGCACACATATTTAACTAAGGCAACAAAATAAATGTAATTCCCCAAACATGCACACTATAGTATCGTTTTCACAAACATGTGCTACACAGAATAAGTACGCACAAATCCATGTGCACGTACGGGCGCTCACGCACGCACGCACGCACACGCACACACACAGAGCAAAGAGGGTGTTAGTTGTAAAGTATGAAACAGATCGACGATCGAAATTCAGGTGAAGGAAAGGTTTTTCGCACAGCTAACAACAGTCAATGCGCCACGGCTCCCTCGCTACCTGCACAGTGGCGACATCTAGCATTTGAGGTTCCGCTGCTGCCATATACTGAACATTTTCCATAAGGCCCGATTCTTGAAGTTCGTTTCTCATCGGTGCTTTGCTTCGGAAGGAGAAGCCCATCGACTTTCGCTTCATCCTACTGAAGTTGCAGGGCCACGTTACACCCAGTTTTAGACCGGAGAATACAGTGTTAATAGTTCAAACTACACCTACACGTTCCAATCAGCACTCCTAGTGGTGGGCCATTTCTTTAAACAAGCAAAATGGCCAAAATACGATGAAGAGATGTCTAGCAAAATGTGAGAGTATTCGGAGGAATATGACGAATCCCAATAGAGGGTAGCTTATCATATACTATGCATTTTTTTCTCACCTATTAATAGGTGCACTTTTACATGACCTTAGCTCTCATCATTTCCTATCAAAATTATTCCACATTACCAAAATGGTATGAAGCCTTCACAATCATATTGGTATGCACTAGTACTAGCAACTAATGCTGCACTATGGATACAGAACATACTATAGTGGTATCACATATGACATCACAGCAATTGCAAAATTCTTGTTTGCAATGTTATAATGCAACGTGACTATTGCTAACTGCATTGGCATGTAGTCCTGTAATATGCGATAAGAACTATCTTGTGCCTAAACAGTAAACAGCAGGCATGAAAATGACCGGTAAAGAAAAACACTGAAAACCCCCGAGGCAGGGGAGGGTGTGGAAGAGGGGGTACCCCCTCCCACGGTAGGAAGATTTTTTAATTTTGGGGGTCAGAATCATGCAATCTGGTGCATTCTGTAATGAGATTTTTAACCTTATATTAAAGAGAATCTGGATTAAGATAATTCCATATAGCAAAACACATACATACCCACAGGATCTAAATAAATATTTTTATCAATAACAGCAAGCAGAAAGAGGGGCATTTAAAAGGAACAAATGTGATAAAAGATGTATATAATGTGCAGAACACTTTTATTAATAAAACTGAGGTGAATAAGCAACAGATTATCAATTTCTGCATAGAATACATGTACGTCCACACGCAAGAACCAGCGTGCAACCCAGGGTACACTGAAAGGTCACCTCTGGCTAGACTGGTTCGCGGCCGCACTGTTTGTCGCAGAGCGTGTACATTGTCTAGCAGAGCGTGAGGCCGGATGCCAGTCTACCCTTCGGCAAAAACAATAAGGTTGCTTGCTGCCAGCCACAGTAGACGATCGATAAACCGTGCGCATGTACATATGCCCGTGGTAGAATACGAATGCTGCATGTGAACTCGGAAAAAAACGGAAAACGCGGAAACAATTCTGGGATCAGGAAAAAAGCGGAAATCCGCGGAAACGCGGAAAATTTTCATGCCTGAAACAGGCCTACTTTCATCTTGTGTGGCTTTATTCGGTTGATTCCCTTAATATGTATAACTCAACCAAATAGAGTCTAAAGGTTTTAAGTTCATCACACCTTTTCGAGCCAACTAGAAACATTGTACGATGTTTTAATACTGCAGCTGGGCTCACAGGGATATACTCACCGCAAATCTAACTGAGATACTCCAGCTGGTGTAGTGATCGCATTTTAATTACGGCTTAATTTTATAACTGGAGCATCACTACTACTCCTGAAATTCCATAAGCACTCACACTATCTAACAAAGAGTTGTTATACATCAAGTCACAAACCATTATTTTTTAACTACTGTACACAGTAGATGTTTTATCAAATGTGTGGCACCTATTGCTATTCCCATATTATTATTATTTATATTATCATTATTTATATTATTTATTTATTTTTTTTTTTTTTTAATTTATAATTATTATTTTTATTATTTTTATTATTAATTATTCCCATTAATTATTACCATATGGTTATTCCCCTAGAGCTACATGGCGAATAGAATTCTACTCGTTTTCACTTACGGTGCTGGCGGGGGACTGTACAAGCGAAGTTCGTGCGTTTCTAATGGGTCCACGGATCCCCCGACACTGGGCATGGCTGTGGAAAGCGACAGCTTCGCATCTGTCCAGTCTTCCTCCGTAGACTGAGTTATCACGCCATAGTACGTCAGCTACAAAAACAGCAGAACTAGGTATGAATTACTACCGATTCACACTCGATCGAATTTACAGCATTAACACGCCTCGTGGACAGATTAGAATAACGCGCCATAAATTACGTAAAAATCCTTCATATTGTACACGAAAGATAAGTCTGTACAATTTGTTACAAGAATTAATTCTAGCCATTTTTGCATTACTCCGTAAGAAAAAACCCAAAGGCACGCCACCAAGATAATTATCTGTCATGCAAAGTCCATGTACAGCCTAGAACACTATATGAACAAACCTGTTTACAGTACATTACAAATATATTTCCTCTCTTTTTATTGACTGTCCATCACTGATATATACCTTTAGCTTGCTGTCGGTGGTAAAGACGCGGACATCATATTTGGGGGTCCAAGAAGCACCGAAGACAACATAGGACACATGCAACTCTACCTCAGTGTCCTCAGTTGCTTCCAGGAGCACCAACACCTCCCTGTGCCCAAAAAACACAGCTAACCCAAACAGCCATCGAGAAAATTGCACCACTCACTCCCATCAACTTTATGTAATAGGTAAGAGTAAATAAATAATAAAGTGATATCTTGTATCATTGTACCTGGAGAAAGAGTAATCGCCATGACACTTAGTGTTCAAATTCTGACGTTCCACCTCCAATTTTTCTTTCGTGTCATTTACATGCTCAGTAACCTCTTCCAGCTGTGAGTCAAGCTGTGACATCTAGTGACAAAAAGAACAACAACGGCTGGACTTTGTTCGGACCTGGTTCAATTATAGAGGGATGATTGTGTCAATACCATATACCATCGCCTGCAGTCTACTATAAAACATTTATTTACAGTCATATACTGCTGATAAAGATCAGTTGCAGACTATAAATTGTCGCCCAATAGTGCGATGCACCAGTTAATACATCTAGTACGTAATTACTCAGGGTTGACATTCCAATGCAACTTATATGTGATATTACTATGATGTCCAGCAGTACTTATCGTAGATAATATCTAGAGTGCTCCATACAGTTAATGCGAGTAGTTGGAATTTGTATATTTACCTTCTCATCATACATCCGTAGGAAGGATTCGATCCCTCCGATCCATGCCTCATCCCCGACCCACTGCTGTCCTTTCTTGCTCTGTGGAAAATAGACATACGATTATACATATAATATCTATTATATACTGATCACCACAAAGTCTATGAATTGTAAATGGTTAGATCACATATGTATGCTTGGTTGCTTGTTTTGTCAGATTCTGAAATCCATCATTCCTAATTGTCTGGCTGACATCCTTGCCTTGCATTTATTCTGCCAGATTAATTCATGTCAATCATACGCGATGGCAGGGTCCCTATGGATTGGGAAGAGAGCCTCATTGTTAACCTGCACAAGGGTAAGGGTGATGCTCTAGACAGGGGTATTTATCGTGGTTTAAAGCTGACTGAACAGGCCTTGAAGGTGCTGGAGAGAGTGGTGGACAATTCTATCCGGCAACTGATCTTAAGGAACTGAACAGCCGGGCAGGGGAACTTCAGATGGTATCTTTGTTGTCCGTCAACTGCAGGAGAAATACCTGGCCGCCAACAAGAAGCTTTACTTAGCCTTTGTTGACCTGGAAAAAGCGTTCGACAGAGTCCCGAGACAAGTGCTGTGGTGGGCGATGAGGAAGCTTTGGACAGACGAGTGGAACGTGAGGTTGGTGCAGGGCATGTACACCAACACTCGTAGTCGTGTGCGTGTCGGTGGTGGTTTCTCGGAGGAGTTTGAGGTAAAGGTGGGAGTCCATCAAGGGTCGGTGCTGAGCCCCCTCCTGTTCATCATGGTACTAGATGCCCTTTCACGGGAGTTCCGTGCTGGCGTCCCCTGGAAAGATCTCTACGCTGATGACTTGGTGATTATAGCAGATTCCTTGGAAGAATGCATGGCAAGGCTGGAAGTGTGGAAGGCTGGCATGGAGGAGAAGGGCCTCAGAGTGAATATGAGCAAGACGAAGATCATGATTTGTGGTGCTGAACTTGACCTCTTGGAAGACTCCGGGAAGTACCCCTGCGTTGTGTGCAGGAAGGGTGTTGGGAGTAATTCCGTTCGCTGTCGCGGTTGTGCACACTGGGTACATAAGAAGTGTAGTGGCATAAAAGGCCGACTCAATGACGACCCGGATTTCCGTTGCAAGCGGTGCATGGGCGATGCCCACCCATTTGATGGCAGACCACTGTTGGAGGTGCAGATTGGGCAGGACAAACTGGAGGTGGTACCCTCCTTCTGCTACCTTGGTGATACTCTCTCGGCGGGTGGTGGCTGTGATTTAGCCACTATCATTAGAGCAAAGACCGCCTGGGGGAAGTTTCGGAAGCTGCTTCCTGTTCTGACATCTCGACATCTGTCCCTCAGGACTCGTGGTCATGTGTATGGCACCTGTGTCCGTAGCGCCATGCTGCACAGGAGCGAGACATGGGCAGTGAAATCTGTTGACTTGCAACGCCTCCGGCGAAATGACAGGGCAATGATCAGATGGATCTGCAATGTCACAATCGAGGATTTGGCCTCTTCAAACGAGCTGCTGGGCAGACTGGGTATCTTGGACCTTGATGTCTTATTACGTGAGAGAAGACTCCGCTGGTATGGCCATGTTCAGCGCTCCACCGGTGCCATCAAGACAGTGGGTGAAGTTCGAGTTGTTGGTGTAAGGAGACGTGGGAGGCCGAAGATGTCTTGGAAGGAGGTTGTGAAGAAGGATAGGGAACAGTGAAATCTCTCCGCTGTAAATCCCTTGGATCGTGTCACATGGAGAACAAGCGTGAGAGCTGCCAAAACTGGACCGAGCCAGATTCCTGGAGTGGGTTTCCACTGATGTGGATTTAAACCCTTGAGTCCAGTATAAAATAAAGAAACCGAAAACAACAACAACATTGATAACAAGCATATGGAGCTAGCCCTGCCTTTACTACAAGTAGATTTAATTTAATAATATAATGATATGAAATTAATGCTGAATATGGGGCTTGATACAAGGAATTTTGCTGAATACTTAATTGGTAATACTCCAGCAAAGATTGCTTACCTGAATATTAAAAACAATATAGCTATTGTTTTTGCAGATCAGTGTTCACAACCACAATCAGAACGATATATCTGTGCAGAACAAACCCCACCCCCTACATCTGTCATCACACTTAATATGTGATTGAGCTAACCTCGGCTTTTGTGACGGTGGTAAGAAGTGCATTCAGAGATTCCTTCTGCGAAACAAGCCGCTGCTCCCGTTGCTGTTGAGACTGAAGGGTCTTCTCGAGCTGTCTTATGGTCTCTCTACTAGTCTTGATCCTAAAGCAAAACAATAATCACAAGCATCCTCCAGTATTAGTTCCTAGTCCTCAGTATCACCTGACCATAACCTAGCTCTAGTACTATAGCCCTTGTTGCCACAGGGCACCACACCTGTGGCAACAAGGGCTATAGTACCAGAGCTATAACCATAACCATACTTTATACACGGGAATACAGGACATGCCTAATAACCATGTATAGAGCATGTTGTGATCTTTCACTACTTTTATATAAGCATGTACATTAACGTGTAGTAATGCGTTAGTGTGTAGGTACACAACTATCAATGTGTAATCGCTCTCTACCGTGGCAGAATAAACTACCAGTTGTACGCGTAATTATCAAGTATCTGCATAGCTTGTGTTTTATTCACAAAACCATAGATCATAACAGAGCACTGCATGGAGCTTTTCTTATTAATATTTGACAACTAACGAGGCTATATATAACTAACGTACAAGCCTAAACCTAACGTACGTACTTTTCATCGGTGTCACTGTCTTGATCTGTCACGCGCTCTTCCTTGTATGTCACCTCATTGATAACAGCAGCACCCTTGCCTTCAACGCTGAGAAAAGCACAAAATAAATCAAATATGCATATTAACCGATAAGTACACATAAACATGCAGATATAATACAGATACATAAATACTATAAACATATCACAGAAGTTGACATGGGAGTATTCTTGCAGTCAAAGAATGGCAGAATCGTACATAACAATGGCGCCTAAATACGACATGTACGCAATTAAGTGTATTGTAGAGCCACAGGCACTTGGACCGTCTCAATAAAAAAAAGAAAGGTAAATAAACACGAAATGTATTTACTACCAAAGTCTTAATGTTTCTCTACTCTATTTCGCCTATAATCACCTGTAAATGCTCATCTGCAACACACAAGTACACCGCACGCTAGCTGCTGCACACTGACACATAAAAATATAGCTCCAAGAAACGGTCTTTGCTAGGGTTAGAAGACCTGGATAAGATTGTGTATATTGACGTTAGTCACACAGCCTGGTCGGGCTTAGCCCTAGAACTATAGGCCTCCGCTTCGCCGCAGTCCCTGCGGCGGAGAGGAGGGCTATAGTTCTAGAGCTAGGTCGGGCTAATAAATATATGGCCGTGGCTACGCGACCGGTTCCGGACGAGGAGCCGCTATAGGCTACGCGTCCGGACATCCATCTCACACAGTGAGCTTGCGACACGTACACGCATGAATGCGCAATGGGACGCTCTGCTGATTGCCGTGTGTGTGTGTGTGTGAGTCTGAGAGAGAGAGAAAGAGAGAGAGAGAGAGAGAGAGAGAGGGAATGGGAATGTGTATGTGTGTGTATGCATGAGAGAGAGAGCCTCAGAGAGGTGTGTGTGCGTGTGAGAAAGAGCAAGAGAGAGAGAGAGAGATAGAGAGTGAGAGTGAGAGTGAGAGTGAGAGTGAGAGTGAGAGTGAGAGTGAGAGTGAGAGTGAGAGTGAGAGTGAGAGTGAGAGTGAGAGAGAGAGAGAGAGAGCGAGAGCGAGAGAGAGAGAAGAGAGAGATGAGACGGCGAGAGCGAGAGAGCCGACAGAGCGAGACCCCGAGAGACCACAGAGAGAGACAGAGAGAGAGGAGAGAGAGAAGCGAGAAGAGAGCGAGAGAGCGAGAGAGAGAGAGAGATACGAGAGAGACGCGCGAGAGCGAGAGAGAGAGAGAGAGCGAGAGAGAGAGAAGCGAGAGAGAGAGAGAAGAAGAGAGAGAGAAGAGAGAGAGCAGAGAGAAGAGCGAGAGCGAGTAGAGAGAGTCAGAGACACGCGCGAGAGAGCGAGAGAGAGAGAGAGCAGAGAGAGAGAGAGAGAAAGAGAGAGAGAGAGAAGAGAGAGAAGGAGAAGAGAGAGCGAATGAGAGCAGAGCGAGAGAGAGCGAGAGAGAGAGAGCGAGACGAGCGAGAGAGAGAGAGAGAAGATCGAGAGAGAGCTAGATATGAGAGAGATCGAGAGAGAGAAGACGAGAAGAGCGAGACAGAGAGAGAGAGAGAGAGAGAGAGAGAGGAGCGAGAGAGGGAGATGACGAGAGCGAGACGAGAGCGACGAGAGAGAGAGAGAGCGAGCGAGAGAAGAGCAGCAGCGCGAGCGAGAGAAGACGAGCGAGAGAGAGAGGAGAGAGAGACGCCGCGAGAGCGAAGAGAGAGAGAGAGGCGCGAGAGAGAGAGAGAGAGAGAGAGCTGTGTGTGTGTGAGAGAGAGAGCGAGAGGACGGATGAAAGGATAGACGGCAGCAGAGCGTCCCGTTGCGCAATCATGCATGTACGCGGGTAGCGCGATCACTGTGTGAGTGGATGTACAGACGCGTAGCCTGGAGGCTAGGCGACCGGTTCCGGACGCGTAGCCACTGCGTAAATATATAGACTATATATTTATGTGTCAGTGTGCAGCAGCTAGCGTGCGGCGGCCAGCGTGTGACAGTGTGTTGCAGATGAGCATTTGGACGGCATTTACAGGAAATTGTCGGCAATAATAGGTGAAAGAGAGTAAAGAAACATTAAGACTTTGGTAGTAAATACATTTCGTATTTATTTTGAAACGCTCCAAGTGCCTGTGCGTAGAGCCACGAGTCAGGACAAGACTCAAAGTTAATTCCTCATGAAGTAGCGACCAAGTTATTCATACAATGTGGCTACCATTAACTGTAACAGTACTAACAGCTGAGCTAAGCGGACTGTACAAAAAATAAGAAAGTACAACTGTCGTCCATACCGAAACGAATCCTTGTCAACGCCGGCTGAGAAGTTTTTCACGACCACTTCGTTGCTACCGGTCTTTAACGTGGCCTTTACAACCCTGCAAACCTCAGCGCGATCCTGATAGACAACAACGCTATTCAACGGGCACTTTGCCACATCAAATACTGGATTTGTCGGCATTGTTACGTGTTAGCGCTACAAATTATTAGACTTTACTGTCAACACTTCGACCAAAACCCGGACGAGGAAACAATAGACTCACAACATGTCTTTTTACTTCGGTTAATAGCATAGTCTGGTAATAGCATAGACAAGCTACGGTGGTACACAGTCTTCGGCAGGTTGGTACCCATCTACAGATGGGAAGGGCATTTTCAGCCGCCGCTAGGTATCGCAGCTATCGTTCAGTGTTCGCGCCAAACGCAAATCAGCCCATCGGCGTCTTGAAACGTCAAAATATATACAGTGTTTTTTTTACAGTGTGTTACAGTGATATATATGCCAGGGCCGGATGCTAATGCGGGGTCTGTAGCATATGTAATAATGGTTAGGGATATTTCTCATAGCTCTCAGCTCCTTTACTCGTTCCACACCTCGCCACCAGATGTAAAAACTCAATAAATAATAATAAATAATAAGATAATAAAACTCAAAATTCACGGAGGCTATAGCTAAGACATGTGTCTATATGTGTGTATATGTGTCTAAATTTCTAGAATTATAACCCAACTCGTTCGCGAGATATGAGAGTTAGTACACTTTCCTGACGCCCATAGTCGTGCGTATATTAGCCTATGAGCGATACCACGCGCATATATTTGGTAATTAATTAAATTAATCGTGCATCCGTTAACTCAAAATTCACGGGGATTATAGCTAAGAGTGTCTATATGTATCTAGAATTCTAGAATTATAAGCCAACTCGTTCGCGTGATACACTTTCCTGCCGCCCATAGTCGTGCGTATATTAGCCTATGAGCGATACCGCGCGGGCATGTTTGCTAATTAATTAATCTAATTGCGCTTCAATAAACTCAATATTCACAGTCTCACAGAGATTATAGCGAAGACATGTGTCTATATAAATTTTGAGTTTTATTATCCTATTATTTATTGAGTTTTTACATCTGGTGGCGAGATGTGGAACGAGTAAAGGAGCTGAGAGCTATGAGAAATATCCCTAACCTGTTATAATGGAGCCGCCCTAAACCACGGGCCCCTAAAACCGCGGCGCCCGTAGCATATGCTACTTTTGCTATTATTGTTAACCCGGTAATGATATGTGTGTGTGTGTGTGTGTGTGTGTGTGTGTGTGTGTGTGTGTGTGTGTGTGTGTGTGTGTGTGCGTGCGTGCGTGCGTGCGAATCATACAGCGTGAGAATCGTTATAAGTTCCCCGTTCACCATGTGGGTGTGCCTTCTCCATTTCCACGCTAATCAAGACCAATGTGATATTGAAAATTGTCCAAATCAATGTGTTGCAATTCTTGTAATATATAATTATTTTCCCGAATTAATGCATTGAGTATTTAAACATTTGCATTGGGTTATATTATAATGCAATGTGTAATTCACGAGAAATAATTATAATTCAACCCATTAAATAAGGTCATTCGGTTGGTAGATAATAGATCTATCTTGGTTAAGTTTTACTCGATCAACACGGTTGAGTAAAAATTAACCAAGATAGATATATTATAATTCAATATTTTGAATATTTTGACACGCCAGGTTCAATGTCTTCATTCCATAGCTTAATTACTACTTCCATCGTTGATTAGGGACATCAAAAAGTTGTAACTTAATTTCGTTCTATGACACTGGGGCCATATGGTATAGACTTATTTTTTTTATTTTTTTTATTATTTTCTGGTTTCTGACTATTAATGAATCCCAGCTACCAACGAACGTAGCCCTATAATAAAATCCCAGCTCGCAACGAACGTATAAATAATAATTGGACATGTGTTGCCAAAGGTGTCTCCTCGCTTCGTTCACCTAAACTAGACTCTATAACCGAAATGAAGAGACAAGCAATCCATTCTAAAACGAAAGACGCATCTGATAAGTGTATCACACGGCTACGCAGTCGCAGGAGTTAATTACGTGCTAATTGTAAAACGCCGGCGGTTGACAGAACCATTTAATTGCTAAATACGTGTGTAAAATGAAAGTTATAGGTCGGTTCCACGACAACATACGCAAATTTACACGGTATATGTTAACTCGATAACAACATGATAACATATAATTCAGAAAAAGTATGAATGATGTAATTCAAATTTAATATTAGAAATGTTGAGTGCAAAATATGCGCTACAGTAAAAACCCGCGTATAAGAACATAGATTTTAAGAACCTGTTAGGCTAAAATTTCCCATTTAGACCCCTTTACATAAGAACCTGTTTTAGGCTAAGATTTTAAAGTAGGTTCTTAATTCAATGCAGATGAAGACTTAAAAAGACGAGCTCAACAATACCGATGAATGTGCCAGCACCTTTTTTTGGCACGCTTTTTTTTGCATATTGTTTTGTTTCCTTGGATACATACTGTATCATACAGTATGGTAAGCACTGAAAAACTTACACTGTAGCCCATCATGGGTATTATAATTAGCAAAAATTGCAGTCCTTGTAAGAAAATTTTAACACAATTTGAATCAAGTATGAGCTTATACATATTAAAAGTAGAAACAATTAAGAACCTATTTAAGAACCTTTTGAGCCTCATTTTTCAGTAAGCACCATTTATATAAGAACATATTGAGGCTAACTTGGAAAAATCTATGTTCTTATACGCGGGTTTTTACTGTACTGCGATTTCTACTTCTGCTCGCTTGCTCGTATATAGCAATAACAGCGCATCACTATTACATCTAAATTAACTGATCTACATAGTTATCACAATATTTAGGAATATGTAGTAATTAAACTCTCCACACAATCACGCAGATGAGCTGATTTTTTCTTATTTCGATCAAAGGTTTTCTGAGAAAATATGCTACAATAATCCCAACAACTACAGCGTTTGAAGCGCTGGTTACCCCGCTTATGCAGATACATAAAATTACCCCAGCACAATAATTAAGAGAGCTCTATTGATTGAATTAATTATGTTTGAAATCTAGACGGTGAAATCAGTAGTAACGCCGGCGAGACTATTGACATACCTATACATATATATATATTGTATATATATTGTATATATATATATATATAATATATATATATATATTACAGGGCCGTAGCCAGGGGGTCGAGGGTTCGCACGAACTCCCCCCCCCCAAGCAAAAAAATATATATTTGCAAGAATTTCACCTCAGGTATGCACCAGATTGCTCCATTTTAGTGTAATAATGGCAAAATCTCCATCGTGCGGACACCCCCTCTCCCACACCCTCCCCCGCTCGGTCGCTTCGCACCCTCACAAATTGCCAAAATTTAAAAACGAACCCCCACCCAATATAAAGCTGGCTACGGGCCTGTATATATATATATTCAAATGTTGACCTCGTCTCTGTAAGTGTAGATGTTGTCCACCACTCTTGCTTCGAGTATCTTAACCTGGCTTTCGCCCACCAACATGTGATCCAATCCCGCGTACGCTATTAAATCTGTGTAGTAGTGTTCAGAACTGAACGTGGTGGCATCGTCCCACCTGTGCGCATGGTACAGAGTCTTGCCGGCCGCCAGACGGCGCTCATACTCGTCTTCCGTGTCGGCATTCATCGCCTCCTCGCTGGGAAGCTGCAGGGAACCGTCGAGTATCTTCACTGCGAAAGGAACCTGCGCATAAGCCAAAGTGAAGTCGAAAACGTTGACCATGGCATTAATGAACATCATCGTCTGGTACTTTGTGTTTATCATGTGCTTGAATAGAGGGCGCACGCGTTTCCCGCCTTTGATGGTTATGCCACACGACTCGTCCAGAAACGGGTAGCTGTGGCGGTAGCCCGTGCAGTAGATGATAGCGTCGACGTCATCGGCTGAATCTCTGTCGGCAAATCGGATTGCGTTTTCCCCGATGACTTCTGGCCACTTTACGACGATGATGTTTGGAGGCAGTTTGCCCGCAGCGTATTGTTCTTGTAGTTTCAACCTGTCTGCCTGACCAACGCTTACGATCACGTTTGATGCGTGTCGACCGAGATCGAGAGCTAGATCGAAAGCACTGGGCCCGCCTCCCAGTATTGTGACGCTTTTACCAGCATACGGCTCCGGGTGGCGGTAGTCGTGACTATGAAGGACAACTCCGCGGAAATTTTCTATGCTCGCTATAGTCGGGATGTACGGCGTGGAGTAATGCCCCGTGCACACGAACACGGCGTCAAACTCCCCCGTGCGCTCGGCTCCCGTTGTTGTATTCTTGATCGTTAGTAACCACCTCGGCCGATGGGCGTCGCCACCGTCGATGCGTTTGACAGATGTCACGATGTGCTTCAGATGTATGCGATCACGTAGGTGGTAATGGTCAGCGTACGACTCAAGGTACTTGTGTATCTGTAACGTACGAAAGAATTATAGCTGCTGAAATCCATTGTAGCTCTGTGCCACAGAGAGACACAGGAATCATTTGCGGGTTCAAGCGCCAGAATTAAAGTGATTTGAACGGTTTCCGATTTCATTGCCACGATTGGCATTTCTAGTAAAGGATCGCGTTTTTGTTTTTATTAATTTAATAATCAGGGAAGTACCGATTTAATGGTTTCCAGACATACATTGGATGGTCCTATTTGGACTAATAATTAAATGCAGCACGATGACACAAGGAGTGTCATAATGGAGTCTATATTATGACAATCCTGATGATTAACACCTGAGCACGGCTTGGGAATGTCGGAGTGCCATCTGGGAACTTGAAATCCGGGAATTCCATTAGTCGCCTGGTTCCGTTCGACAGCAGATTTGCATAGGCGGCCGAGTGAACCGGATATCCGTCCTCACCAATACCAGTCCTATCGGTGTATACCCACTGTCCTCCTGAAAATGGGAGAATTCGTTTTTTTGTAATTCAGGCAACGCAAAAACGAAATTGCTGTGATGCTATATAAACTCACTTTCATGTTGTGTCTTTGGGTTATATATGAGTGGGAAACGTCACGTGCGCGCGTGTAACTTACTAGTTGTAGTACTATGTAATATCAGGAGTGTATAATATCGAAAATATAATCTCTATAGTATACACGCCTGATAATATTATTGCATCCTATATCCTATATACTATCGTACTACTAAATACTCTATTGTATCTTGGCTTGGAAATATGGGATGGGGGCGATGCCGCGATGGGCCAGTATCGGAAAGCATTTTAGTTTTTAAACAGTTAACGCGTTATTAATAATATCAAGAGCTAATAATACATACAATAATATAATTAATAATAATTAATGATAATATTATTAGCTCTTGTTAATATGGTTACCTAAACTGAAACTTAAAAACCGAAAGATCAATGTTAAGAATCCAGTTGAATTTTTTCCAAAGCCTAATTTAGCATTAGCATTAGCATCAGCTTTAGCATTAGCTTTTGAATTAATTTAGCATTCCTCGGAACTCCTACCACCTTATACCGAAGAGGGGGCGCACACACCTACGCTGCTGCAACGTTCAAACACCTCATGTTCGAATCCGGGAAGGTTGCTCAGAATCCGTGAGGCTATGAGTCCAGACGGCCCAGCGCCGATCACGGCTATACTCGCCTTCTTCTTCTCTTGCATCATGATGCCTGGATCCATAGAAATAATACTAGTTAGACTATATATTTGTGTGTGTGTGTGTGTGTGTGTGTGTGTGTGTGTGTGTGTGTGTGTGTGCGTGTATGTGCGTGCGTGTGCGCGCGTGCGTGCGTGCGTGAGTTGCGTG